CATGTGTGTGCGGATATATATATATATGACTTTTCCAACTAGCTTCTCCCTCATCATTCTTATTATGTCTTTCCCCCCCCCTGCTTTCTCTATTTCCATCCCTCACTACTGCGCCACTCTCATCGTTCCCATTATCTTAAACACAAAGTGAGTCTCATCTATTCAAGATTCTTGACAAATATTCCCTTCCCATGTTACACCGAAATCTCCACCGACATCAGACTCTCCTTTAACACAGACTATCCACGAACACAACATATGACTATCCATAAACACACCTGACTCCACAAACACAATAACTAACTATCCACACAAATACCTGACTCCACAAACACAATAAATTAATATCCACAAACACAGCACTGGACATTTCCCAAACACAACCCCTACCTTTCTACAAAACACCTAACTCTCCATAAATAAAACACCTAACTTTCCATAAAACAAAACACCTGACTCTCCACAAACAAAACACCTAACTCTCCATAAAACAAAACACCTGACTCTCCACAAACAAAACACCTAACTCTCCAGAAAACAAAACACCTGACTCTTCACAAACAAAACACCTAACTCTCCACAAACAAAACACCTAACTTTCCATAAAACAAAACACCTGACTCTCCACAAACAAAACACCTAACTCTCCATACAACAAAACACCTGACTCTCCACAAACAAAACACCTAACTCTCCATAAAACAAAACACCTGACTCTCCACAAACAAAACACCTAACTCTCCATAAAACAAAACACCTAACTCTCCACAAACAAAACACCTAACTCTCCATAAAACAAAACACCTGACTCTCCACAAACAAAACACCTAACTCTCCATAGAACAAAACACCTAACTCTCCACAAACGATCAATTCAGCTCTTCGCTTCCTCTTGCTAAATCAATAATTTTCCTTCACTCTAAAAACAGCAATAATTCTCCCCCTTTCTCTTTCTGCCATTTCTCCACAACAGTCCGGCCTCTGACAGTGGAGGTCCTTGGCTCGGGGCAACCCTTAACCTCAGGGATGCAATACGAAGTGACCTGTAGGAGCACCGGGGCTCGACCCCCGGCCCTAATCACCTGGTGGATGGATGACAAGGAACTTACCAACGCTACGTCTCATGTGAGTTAAATCTTCTGATGTTATAGGATGTTAGAAAGGAAGAGAGAAGTGGAGGTTGGAATAGCATGAAAGATGATTAAGAGGCAGAGGGAGATGGATAGTGGGAAAGGTGTAGGAGAATGGGAATTATAGTGGAAAGGAAGTTGAGGTTAAAAGAGTTGGAAGGATATGGGCTGGAGTGGAAAAGATGAAGGAGAGAATACAGAGAAAAACAAGTTAATGAGAGAAGGGAAGCAAAGTGGGAGAAAAAGACATCAATTTCAAATACAAAAATACAGGAAAAAATATACGATTGAATGTCAGTTCTCGCAAAAAATTTAAAAAATATATTTTTTTAACGAAACGTCATATCTTCAATGAAACATTTAAGTATCCTTTCCAGCATGAATGTTACGAGCGCCTCGAGAAGGCCGTGAAATATTAATTAGGCTAATAAAACGTTTTCTACCTGCTGAATTGCCTTCGCTAATTAGCATTCATCTAAGAGACTTCATGTGATGCTCGAAATTAATTATCTCTTATAAGAACCTTGCAAGTATCTCAAACGCTTTGACGTCTAGAGGCTGAAATTGCTAGTGGTAACATTTTAATATTTTTGGTGACATTTCACTGATAATACTCAATAGATATAGTTATATCTGGATAGTCGGGTAAACTATTCCTGGTCTCCTATCTCAGTTTACCTCACGATGCAGTGATAATTTTTCAAGAATAATTCGATTTGAGTAGCTCATGGAAAACAATTACGTAATGAATTTTTATATATTACAGGATTAGTTTCATCCTCGTCAACTCAGCAAAAATATGTTTACTTTACAATTAGTTAAATTATAATTATACTTTGAGGACAAATAATGAAGAAAAATATTTATTTAAAATTAAAATAAAATTTTATTTTCTTCAAGAAACTCTTATTTCTTGAGAAATTATCAGCGAATAAAAATAACTTTATGCATAAAAAATGGATTTCTATTAAAATTTCGAAATGCTGTCCACTGATAATGAGGTCTTTAGAACCAATAATAATTTTTGTTTTAAAAAAACATAACAATTAATATGAGTCAAACGGCAATACACACTATAAACACTTACTGTCGATACCCAATAAATATTGCGGAGAGGGCCAAATCAAATTGCAATAACTGAAATTATTTCACTGGCACTATTGCCATGAGATTGGATTCAGGAACCGCTTCACAAATTTGAAAGTCGGTCTCTCGGATTTTTGCCATACATGGATTACAATTTCTTCACTATTTCCTTGTAAGTGGTAAGTTTATAAACCAATGGTTTCATATAGATTATAATAATTAGTATTTTTGAATGAGAGTTTGACAAATAAAATTTGTCAACATTCTTTCGTCATATAATACGCACATACCAACACACACACACACACACACACACACACACACACACACACACACACACACACATACACACACACACACACACACACACACACACACACACACACACACACACACACACACACACACACACACATACACACACACATACAGATCATGCCTAGATCTCGAGAGAGCTGGGGCTCACAGTCTCCAAGTGGGATAAGTTCATTCACTTCTATTCCCGAACAATACAAAACCCAAGTATCTCTCAATTGATAAAATAATGACACGTAGGACAAATAATTCCATTTCCTGAGTTTTCATAATAAGACCAAACACTTAAACCACATTAAATGTTATCATATTTACTCGGAAGTAAAAAAATTATAACCATAAAATAGATCACGTGGATGGAGGAAGAGAATATATCCTTAGGAATCAAATGCAATAAAATAATTACATTCACCTGTATTTCAAAAGAAATATTAAATTCAGGATGTTAATAGTCTGATGGCTAAAGGTAATAATTAATAATGTATATTATAGAAATGATTTAGTTGTCCATTATGTATGAAAAAAAACCTTGTTTGGCCTATGGAGATCGCCCCTAGGGCCTAGGCCAATTGCCGACCTTCTAGGTAAATAGGGACATCAGGTGAAAGAGATATTGTCCAAATGTCTTTCTATCTCATCGAACATCAAGGTTTGTGACTTTTAGATATGAACTGTGTATATGATATGTGTATTTAATACTGTAAACAAAATTATGAAAACAGTCTTTTCTCTCAATTATAATGTGAGAGTAAACTAATTTTTGTAGTGAATATTTTAACCATTTGTTGAAATATCCGGTAATGGTATTTATGATTTATAATACATATACAACGCTAATGTATATATTTATTATGAATTGTATTTCAGTGACTTACAATCCCTATCTCACTTGCATCTCTGACTGCATATACTTACATTTAATTATCTCTATATATTTCTCATATTTTTGCTTTCTAGCTAAGACTACGGTTCAATAGAGATGCTGCCGATGATAATGACGAAATATCAAGCTTAGAGCTGTAGTTCCACCTTGTACATCAGCCTCTCTAATTTCCCGCGTATCTACGTGTTTAGAGATTATATTCCAGCATCCGAGTGACTCCAGGAATGAATGATTACTGAGCGATGTTATTGAGAATGGCGCACGCGGCCTCAGGCTGTAGATGGCTGAGCGCCTTGAGTTGTGGTGGCAACATAGGGTTACTCTATAGACGTTAGGCGTAGGCTGGGAAGCTGGGTGAACATTGACGTTCAAGACTAGAGATGGTCTCTCTCTCTTTCTCTTTTCCACTTTTTCTCGTTTTTTTATGTCTCTGCTGATTCCATTTCACTATTTCATCTTTCTTTCTTTCTCCTTTCCCCCCAATCTTTATCCCCCTGATTATCTTCCCGTATTGGAGGCTGCTGCTTCTTCACCTTCCTCCATCTTCCACCTGGTCTCATCTCCCGTCTCTCTCTCCCCTGACGCAGACTGAGAACCTTGGTAACGTCACCCTAAGCACCCTGACTCTTGTTCCTGACGATTCCGACGGAGGTAAGCTCCTCAGGTGCCTGGCTCAGTCCCCCGTCATCGACCACCAGCCTATCGAAGACTCCTGGAAGCTCGACATCCAGTGTGAGTATATACAAGCAATTTATTTAAAGGATTTTTGTTTTACTTAAGTTTCCCCTTATATTCTCTTCAGAAACTCACTAGTTTTATGCTGACAAAACCACAGACACTAGAAAGTGAAGGGACGACGACGACGTTTCTGTCCGTCCTGGACCATTCTCAAGTCATTATCAAGGTAGAGAAGTAGAGAGAGACTTGAAAATGGTCCAGGACGGAGCGAAACGTCGTCGTCCCTTCACTTTCTAGTGTTTGGTTTGGTCAACATATTTCAGCCACGTTATTTTGCCTCCTCGTCTCACTAGATTTATTTTTAGTGTATTTTGAAATATAAAAGTTTAAGTTTATTGTAGTTTATCCTATTTTTTCTCACTATTTTGCCTTAGAACTTACTAATATCAATATCTTTTATCGGATTTTTGTTATATTTTACTCTTGATTCATTCTAAGCATAAAACCAAATTTTAGCTTCGTTTTTTTCTCTGTGTTGATCAGATCAATCTTTACACCTGATTAGTTTTTTTTTCATTTGGTTTCAATATATATTCCTAATATTCACTGATGTATAAATTATATGTATTCCAAATTGATGTTTGCAGTTTTATATAATATTCATGAAATGTGTTGTGAATATATATGTTTGTGAGTTCTAGATTCGTGAATCATATTTGTTATCCTTGAAAGGCTTTCATTGTGAATGTAATAGTCCTTCGAATGTTGTTTCTTATGTAATTCTTCGTTTGTCTTTGTTTTACGTTATTTACAATCTTCCACGTCTGTCCTTCAGTGTTTATTGTTGTTTTAATTGTTGTTCGTCTTTTTATGCTGTTTTTTTCGTCACTGATTGTACTAACGAAACGCCTTTGTAAGTGTACAAGTATTTTGAACTATTGTTGATAAGTTTCTTGAATCTTACTGTCGTCGAGTTCTTTCAAGACTTTGACTTCTTTCAAGACTTTGACTTCTTTCAAGACTTTGACTTCTTTCAAGACATTGACCGACTCTATGATTTGTGTTACTTTTACATATACCACATATACCACACGAAAATCAGCATTACTAATAAATTGTATCAGTTTTCCACAACATTAACAGAAAGTTATGATCTTATTTTGTATATTTAATTATTCGCAAAATTTTCGTTCACGTTATTATCGAATGCATCCTCATATATATTTATTTGTTAAACTTTGTTCTGGCTCTAACCAGTGTATCTCATTGTGCTCTGTGATTCAAATTCATGCAATTCACAGTGAATTTGAACATAGAAGCCGTTGAAAAAAACCCCACTTCACTTCCTTACAATAAAATTTCAGTGATCGACTTTGTATAGGGTCAGTATCTTTCACGCCATTGACAATGTCTTCATGTTACCTGTGTCTCAATATAGCAGCTGTATTCAGAGCAGTAGTTTCGCAACCAGAAGGTCCCGGGTTTGATTCCCACAGCAGAACAAGAGAAGTTTGTGTCTCGATTCCCTTCACATGATGCCGCTGTTCACCTAATCGTATATAGGTACCCGGATGCTAGACATCTATTGCGGGTTGCATCATGGGACGGTCATTAGTTGACAGAGGTGGGTGAATCTATGGCACACGTGCCAAGAGTGGCACGTGAGCATATATTGCTGGCACACGACAGGCAGTATCGCCTCCTGGATTCTTTAACCCCAACCCATAAAATAAAATGTTATTATTATTCATTATTATTGTTACTAACTCATTACATTTTCTTCGTGAGAATTACTACTTATTAAATAACATATAATTCCTAAATCTGTACCTTCTGAAACCATTCAGAAGAGTTATTGGTTGAATAAACGTAAGTCTTAAGAACGTGTTTAAGCACTTCTTTATCTTTCTCCTTACAGAAATGGTCAAGTACAAATGTAATAAGAAATTGTAATCAGTAGCTCAAAAATTCCCACTGGCACGTATGTTAATTTTAAGATACTAGTGCTACTTTGAGCAATATATATATATATATATATATATATATATATATATATATATATATATATATATATATATATATATATATATATATATATATATATATATATATATATATATATATATATATATATATATATATATATATATATATATATATATATATATATATATATATATATATATATGGAAGTGATTGTAGAAAGCCTATTGGTCCATATTATATATATATATATATATATATATATATATATATATATATATATATATATATATATATATATATATATATATATCATTACTTGTAGTGTCAGCGTAGTTCTTCTGATATCTTAATTGCATGTTTGCTGTGCAACTTACCTGTGGACACTCTTCAACCTTCAAAAGAACCGGGTTCATCTAATTAACATAAGCATTCTTTGAGATGTAACAAGTCAATGTTGGCCAAGTGAATATTTAAAACCCAACCCACGAATCATGTGAATATATTAATTTGCGCCAACTGCTAGTGCCTGGATTTACCCTTGTAATGAAGGCTTCGCTTGACGAGAATCAAGACGAAGGCTGGATCTGATTTGCAATGTCGTGAAGCCACAACCTAAAAATATTATTTCTATAGAATAACCCATAGTGCTTAGGAACTCTTGACCAATTTAATGAATGTAAACAAAGCCGCCATGATTGAAAAGAGATTTACAGGTCTAGTACACGAACACTAAAGTGTTTGGTGAGTCCAGGGTCCAGGTTTTGAGCTGGCGCTTAGGTTTTTAGAAGAACGAGAAAACATTTCGAATGGTAAGTCTAATGCCCATGTTTGTGTCAGTACGGCATATGAGATAATGTATATAACCTAAAATTCAGATAAAGTTAATATAATAAAAATGAGATAACGCGTATAACCTAAAAATGAGATGAAGTTAATATAATAAAAATGAGATAACGTGTATAACCTAAAAATGAGATAAAGTTAATATCCTAAAAATGAGATAACGTATATAACCTAAAAATGAGGTAAAGTTAATATCCTAAAAATGAGAACGTTAATAACCTAAAAATGAAATATCGTTATTAACCTAAAAATGAGATAACGTTAATAACCTAAAAATGAGATAACGTGTATAACCTAAAAATGAGATAAAGTTAATAACCTAAAAATGAAATATCGTTATTAACCTAAAAATGAGATAACGTTAATAACCTAAAAATTAGATAACGTTAATTACCTAAAAGTTGATGTTTGGTGAGTTATAATGTCTCTCATTCAACTTGTTGTTGAACAATCGTTGATGTCGTGCGTCTACTAGGCAAATATTATATATATATGTATATATATATATATATATATATATATATATATATATATATATATATATATATATATATATATATATATATATATATATATATAGTTTTATGTGTTAGACGTAAACTATAGCCAGGGACATAAGCTGTCATCTGAATGCAGGAAGTCAAGCCTTTACTACTATATAGCACTTGCAAGTGGAAAGAATGAAGATTTGGAATGGGACAAGGGAAAGGAATGGTGTCCAACCACTTGGACAGTCGGGGATTGAACGCCGACCGTCTAAGTGGTTGGACGAAGTAGCAGCCAGAGTTACGAATAGCCAGCGGAGAAGGGTCAGGCAATTACAGAACCAAGACACATCCGAAAATGAAGGAACTGACATCGCGTTTTTCCGTCTTGGACCATTATCAAGTCGAGTGGTCCGGATGGAACGAAACGTCATTCCTTCTTTTGTTTTCAGACGGGTAGATTGCGGTGTGTGTGATTTTCAGCCACTTTATTGTGACTTACCGTCAGTAGTCAATGAATTATATTGACGCTTTTTGGCGTCAGGGCACAATGACTCCAGATAATTTCCATTAGGTCAAGGAATCCAGTAATCTCTAGCCAATGGTATATGATCCTGAAAGGAAATTCCAAAGGCAGCTATTGACTACAAGAACGACAGCCTCCGTTAGCATTCAAGTCGTTCCGGTTCTTGTTTGTGAACATCTTAAAAGACCCGATTTAGTCACTCTCTTTTACGCATCTACAGTTTTGTGTTCACAGGAAATAAAAAACTTTTGTCTACTTTTCTGGAGGGATGTAAAATTGCTTTCAAATATCCCTGTTCACCAACAACTAGCTTCTCGGCGAAGTCATTGTTGGAAGACCTGTTATCTCAGGTGATTCACTCTTGCAAGATAAATCAACATAGTAGCAATATTTTTGTGCAAGAGTTTTCAGTTCAGGATATATTCTGTTACAAATATTATATTCTGTTATATTCTGTTATATATGTTATTACAAATGTTATATTCAGTTCCTCAGCTGAAGAGGGATTGTTGGTTTGCAATATTAATCAGCTCCGGGAGAGGTTATCTTGTTCCAAGAGTTATCATCTTCGAGGAGTTATTGTTTAAAAAATACTTTTATTTTCTTGACTCCTCAACTCGAGGGATATATTGTTGCAAAATGTATCAGCTCAGGAGATATATTATTGCAAAGATTCCTTAGCTTAGGAGACGTTCTGTTGCAAGATTCCTCTGATTAAGGGATACATTGCTACAAGATTCCTCTGTTTAAGGGATACATTGCTACAAGATTCCTCTGTTTAAGGGATACATTGCTACAAGATTCCTCTGTTTAAGGGATACATTTCTGCAAGATTCCTCTGTTTAAGGGATACACTGCTGCAAGATTCCTCTGTTTAAGGGATTCATTGCTACAAGATTCATCTGTTTAAGCAATATAGAATTGCAAGATTCCTCTGCTTAAGGGATATATGGCAAGATTCCTCTGCTTAAGGGATATATGGCAAGATTCCTCAGCTCAGTGTAGATCCTGTTGCATAAACCAACATCCACTTACAGCAATACTAATCCCACAACCAGGCTTTTGATGGCAGCTAACCAGGATCCGCTCTACGGCGACGTTGCCAGCTCCCCGTGGCAGTCTGTTTACTGAATTAAAATTATCTTGGCTAAGTGCACAAGAGCATCCCGGACTCATTCAAGAAAGCGTTTGAAACCCACACTGCCTTTCTTTTT